AATTTTATTTGGTTAATTATATTCAATTTATAATATGTACCACTTACCTGGTTGTGGCTCTGCAGATTGTCTACATTGAATGATTTCTGTTAATTGTTATAAATGGTTTTTTGAGTAGGTACCTATTTCTTTTTTTTATCATACCCAAATTGTTCGATAATTCAAGTAATACGGCTTATTTAAATAGTTTACAGCAAAACTACCTATTATAAAAGTTGTAGAGAAGAATTTTTTTAACAATCGAAATAAGCTCGATTTTTTTATATTTTTATTAATAATTAATCGATAAAAAGTAAAAAAAAAAAAATGTTAATTTACCATGCGATATTGGACGATTGGAATACGATATCAAAAATCGGATTCCTTACGATTGTTAAAAAAGTTCTCCTCTACAATTTTTATAATAGGTATTTTTATTGTAAACCTCTTCAATAAGCCGTATTAATTGAAGAACAAAAGTAGTTTTTATTTGTATAAAATTCGGAAAAGAAGAGGGCGGCCTAGTGAACAAAATATGGTTTCGTAATTCAAGTAATACGGCTTATTGAAGCAGTTTACAGTAAAAATACCTATTATAAAAGTTGGAGAGAAGAATTTTTTTAACAATCGAAATAAGCCCGATTTTTTATATTTTTATTAATAATTAATCGATAAAAAGTAAAAAAAAAAATTGTTAATTTACCATGCGATATTGGACGATTGGAATACGATATCAAAAATCGGATTCCTTACGATTGTTAAAAAAGTTCGCCTCTACAATTTTTATAATAGGAATTTTTATTGTAAACCGCTTCAATAAGCCGTATTACACTATTACCTACTTGAAGAACAAAAGTAAAGTTTTTATTTGTATAAAATTCGGATACGAATACAAAATAGTAGTGGGCGTGGCTTAAATGCCGCGCGCTTGCGGATCGCGAAAACACCTAAAAGCGCGTTCTATCGGCCGTTGCATACGTTTTACTTTCAGTGTGGCTTCCTCTTAAATGACTTAAATCGAACCAAATTAAATAATATTTGTCACAAATATAATAATCATTTTCTTATCTGGTTATTTATAAGCCATGTACGGGCGGTCGGCTGCGATAGAGTACCTATTCTGACCAAGGTGCGGTACTGCCGTTAATGCGCGCGGGGTGGTGGTATGCACAGCTAGTATCGAACGCTGCCACTGCCTACGGGCGCAGCACTTGCCGAGCGTAATTTTCTGCAGTTTTCTCATAAAACATACTTTGCGCGTTCCAATAATATGGGTTACCGAGTGGTTTAATCGTAAAAACACCTATGAACAAAATTGTAGAGGAGAATTTTATCTGGTTCCGTAAGAAGCCCGATTTTTGATATCTTTAAAACATCATGAAATATATCATGATTAATAATACACTTTTTTTTAATTTTCCGGAAGTTGATTTTAGGACTTAGAAATGAAAATTTCAAAAATCGGGCTTCTTACGGAACCAGATAAAATTCTCCTCTACAATTTTGTTCATAGGTGTTTTTATGATAAAACCACTCAGTAACCCATGTTATTGGAACGCGCAAACATGTTTTTAAAGGAATTTTTCGAGTGATTTTTTTGGGTGACACGTCCTCTTAACTTTTGTCTTCAAGAATTGAGTACACAATAGTAATGTAGGTGTTAACAATTATTTGACCGAAAATATATTTTTTATAATTAGGTTACTTGTTTTCAGTTTTTACTAATCTGTATCCATTACTTTACAAAGAACTTCGGTTCAATCATTGTTATACTCGGGCTCGTTGTTTTTGTTAAAAATGAAACTTAAAAATGTCAACGCCATTGTGTAACAACTATGAATTTGATACTCGGTATTCGGTATCGTGTGACGGTCGAGTAGTCGACAAAAGTTGTATTTTATTATTCATACATTTTGCACAAGTATATTTTAGACCTCTCATCAATACACCTCGATTTGGCGGTAAAATCAAAACTATATCAATATGGTGTTATCAGTAATTATCTGTGATGCATCTAACCAGCATGTTTCTAACCTGCTGGAACCGCTGTTTGGTTCGCTAGGTTGTGATGAATTAAAAAAACGGCATCTATCACCAGCGTAGTTATGCGCTGAATTAAAAAACGACAATTTAAAGTTGCCGACTAAAGGCGGGTTTCCACTATACACGTTTGCCGTGTACACGAAAAATGTTCAGCTATGTAAAACCACACGGTATCGTGGTTAATCGTGTGTTAACTTAACCTAACCAACCAATCACGGCAAAAGATTTGTATGCACGTACACACGAACGTGTATAGTGGAAACCCGCCTTAAGCGTTACAGCAGCGCTGAATTATCGAAGGTACGG